GACTTTGTTTGTTTATGTTTGAGGCAGGGTTTCACTGTGTGGTCTTGGCTGTCTGTCCTGGAACTTACTAGGTAGACCAGACTGGCCTCGAACTCAGCGTATGTTTGTGTGTACATATGTATTCATGTGTACGTGTGTGTTATGCCAGAGTGAAGGTCAGAAAACAACTTGGAGGCTGATTCTCTTCCCCACCACGTGGTCCCATTGAGTCATCTTGGTAGGCCCGTGTTTTCTTAGATTTTTGGGTTTTTTGACACAGGATCTCTTTCTACATAGCCCTGGCTCTCCTGGAACTCACTATATTAACCTGGTTGGCCTCAAATCTACAGAGCCCTGCCTCCCTCTACTTCCAAGTGCCTAAGACAGTTGTAATGCCAGGTGGTAGTGCATGCACTTGGGAGGCAGAGGCAGACGGATCTCTGTGAGTTTGAGGCCAGCCTGGTCTACATGTAGTTCTAGGACAGCCAGGGCTACACAGAGAAACTCATGTCTTCAAAAACGACAGAGATAAGTTTTGTTGTGTAGTTTAGACTAGCCTTGAGCATTTGTCAGTCCTGCTTCGACTTTGCCGCCCGCAATGCTCAGGGTAGGAGGCACTGATGACCAAACTCAGGGCTTTGTTCGCTGGGCAGACAGTTGTAGTTTTCTAGTGCTGGGGTGGGGTCTAGGACCTCCTACATGCTTGCTTTTGCACTAACCCAGCCCCTCCATGTTTCAATTCTATCCTCTATCCTAGAACTTCAAGGCTTGAAACCAATCTACTCATCCTGCAGTCTGTGGAACAAGGCCTGCCCACCCCGGGTTCCTGGCTATCCTTCAGGTAGCAGGAGCCCTATGGGGCTCTAAGCCCTGCTTCTGGCCCAGGCTAGCCAAGCCATCCATGTTCCTGAGGCCCCAGTGGCCTCCAGAGATGGATAAAGGAGCTCACCCTCCTTGGATTTCTGGATGGAAGTTAATCCCTGCCCCACTTCACCCCTGCCTCCCCTGCTAGTGGGAGATGAATGGATGACCTCAGAACAATAAATGTGACTCACCCACATTGGCTGTGTGTGCCCTTTTTCCCTGTTGGTCTGTAAAATCCAGGCTAGTCTCAGATGATCTCCTGCCTCAGTCTCCCAGGGCATGCGCCAGTATGCCTGGCTAGGTGTGCTTTCATTTCAGGGCACAGGACAGGACAAGTGTGAGCAGTCAACACATGCGGTGTGGCGAGCACTGCTGGTGACTTTACGGGATCTAGACTTGCCCAGGAGACAGACCTGGCTATAGTTCCACCCAGGGAGCTGAGGTCAGGCTTCGTGGCATGCACCCTAACCCTGCAGCCACCTCTGCTTCCTGACTGCAGTCAGGGGAAGCAGCCATGTGCAGATCCAGCTGATGGGGGAAGACACCCAGCACCTAGTGATCCGTAGACAGTAGGCTATTGTCAACTCCTGGAGGCTGCCATGCCGCCATTAGAGACCCCAGCCCAGGGACCTCCTACTACCCCTGCCCACAGGGCACACAAATCACCTGAGACTTAAGATTCTGAACTTTTTATTTTCTGGCATGAAAAGTACAAATAATTAAACAATTCCATGTAAAAGTCAGTTACCGCGGCCAGGCCTGGAATCTCGGTAATAAATAGTCTAAACGCAACTTGAAGTGTTCATGGGTTTGGGTTGAGGTTTGTTTTTTTGTTTTTTGTTTTTCTACAGTTCATTATATCACCTCCAACATAGACTCTGTCATGGTTTGAAACTTTCCCAATAAACAGGATGAGGAAGGGTTGGAGAGGCTGAGCCCCCTCCCCACTGGCCCTGCCCTTGGCCCCCAGGGACTTTGGAAGACCCAAGGGCCCCTCTCCCTGGGAGCCCTTGGCCTGGCCCTCTTGGGGGACTGGCCTCCAGGGATGGGGCCTGGCTGGGCTAAACTTGTGTCTTAGAAATAAAAGTTCCCTCCTCCTAGTCTTAGGGGCAGCAGGGACCTAGGACTTGGTGGGAGGGGGTGGGGGGGAAAGGGCCCCCTCTTTAGAGCCCTCCCTCCCCCCCCCAGGGTAGGGGGCAAACCCAGCCCTTATTGCTCGTTGCCTCCAGCAAGTGTGGAGGGCAGGGGGAGACCCCAGAAACAGCAGGGAAAGAAGGGGTCTGACCCTCCTGGAGGCGGGGAGTCCCTGTCCTGCTGGGAGGGAGGGGGGAGGATTAGGGCAGACTTAGAAACCACCAGAATAAATAGGTTCGGTGTATCGTGAGCAAGCTAGAGTTCACCAGCTAAATAGACAGAAAAACTTCTCAAGACAATAGCAAAACAATCCCGTTGAGAGCCCCTGGGCACCGACAGCTGTGGGGACCCCACCCCTTGGAGCCCACGGCACCCCCGGGGGGCACTCCGCTACCATTACTGTTATTAATAATTATTACTTTAATGACTCCACTTCCCCTTTTTATAAATAAATTAGGCATAACCACATCTCAGCAAAACTAAAAGAAAAGGAACATCTTCCTTCAACTTGCAAACCAATGAAAGAACAGAAATATACACAAAGGTCCTTACAGGCCAACAAGGGTAATAAATAGTTAACATAGCAATAAGTTAAAACTACATGAAGCTAAATTCAGCAAAAAAGTACAAGAAAGTTAACTGGTGACAGTTTATCTTTTTTTTTCTTCTTTTTTTTTTTTTGTTTGTTTTTAAGTCATCTTTGTGTGTGTCTTTCTTTCTTGTTGCTATATCTCATCTTCTGTTTGAGTTTTCTTTTTTTTTTTTTTTCCATTTTTTATTTTTTGGTCTTTTTTTTTTTTTTTTTTTTTTTTCTTTTTTTTTTCTTTTTGTTCCTTGCAGCAGAAACTCCACAAACGGTTAAGAACAACACCAGGAGGGGCGGGAAGAGAGAGGTGGACACTCAGATGGGGCCATGGCCAGACACCAAACGCAGAGGACACCGCGAGAAAGCAACTAGAACTAGAGTGTAGAGTTGGGTGGGTTGGGGCGGGGCTTCCCAATTCTCGGTTGTGACTGGGCCCACGAAGGGGTGGGTTGAAGGGTTAGGGCTCCCAGGGGCTCCAGCCTGTGGCTTCAGTTGGAACTTGCATAAAAGAATGAAAAGCTAGGATGTGGTGTTATGGATGCAAAACCCAGTCAGAAGCCAGGGCCAAGGCTCATGAAGGCTGCATCCATGGTTCCCCCACAGTCTGGAAAGACAAAAAAACCCAACAATCTAAAGAGGGTGACAAACTGATGGGAAGGGATGTGGGGGGGGGCACCTTGGGCCCATCCACCCCTGGGTCTGGGGTTGGTGTGCTGGGTGCTTGCTGCGGTGGGGAGCACGCTGGCCCTAGTTGAGGGAGGAGACTGCAGACCTCCCTGTAGATGCAGGGAGGCTGAGCCCCAGGGGCAGGGGTCCTTTGGCCTCAGTGTTATGGGAAGTGAGAGCCCCCTCCAGCCCACAGTGATGCCAAAGTAGAACGAGGTATTGTGTGTTTGGACGCATGGACGCCATGTGTGTACGCCTGTGTGGTGGGCAGCGGGAGGCCCCTGGTGGGCTAAGGAGTCTGTGCAGAGAACCTGGGGCTGGGGCATGTTGGGGGCCCCGGGAGAAGTGGCTGAACCAGCCTGGCTGGAGGAAATAACTGGGTCAGGGTCTTCAGTGGGAACGTCCTGTCTGGGCCTTTAGGATGTTCTGAACACGGATGTATGTCCCTAGGTGTTGTATGTTTCTAGGTGACCTATTTGTTTTTGTTTTTGTGTTTTGAGACGGGTCTTGTGTAGCCCAGGCTGACCTCAAACTCATTATGTAGCCAAAGCTAGTCTTGACCTGATCTACTTCTACCTCTCAAGTGCTAGGATGAATGAGGGTTGTGTACCACCACACCAGGGTTATGCAGTGCTGGGGATGAACCCAGGCTTCCTGTAAGCTATACAAGCACTCCACCAACACAGCGACATCCCCAGCTCTCTTCGGGAACTTGTGTCTAGATTCCTACATCCAAATGGATCACATGGTTTTGTAGACAAGAAGCCAATGTCTGTATCTGTGTTTATGCAGCCAAGGTTCTGTCTGTGTGTCTCCATCCTTTGGTGTGGGTTTGTTTGGTCAGCCTTCCTGAATGTATCCTGAAATGTTTCTGTATGTGTTGTATATTTGTGTCTCCAAGGTTCAAGTGCATGCCCCTCTTGTTTTCGTGTGTGTGTGTGTGTGTGTGTGTGTGTGTGTATGTGTGTGTACTGGCGGCCCTATGAACTTTAAACCCCTTTCAAGCCCTGTTCCCTGCACCCCCTGCCCTAGTTAGTTGGTAAACATAACTTGCCAAAATAGTTTCTTTTTGTTTTTTGTTTTGTTTTGTTTGTTTTTTTTTTTGTCTTTTTGTGATTTTTTTTTTCAAGTTCAAGAATCCCCAGTAAAAATTCTCCACGAGGTCTTTTTCCCTTTTTACAAAAATAGAGTTTTTCTTCCCCTCCCCTCCCCTCCCACCCCACTTTTTTTTTTTTTTTTTTTTTTTTTAAATTTTGTTTCTGCTTCCTGCCCTGCCCCAGCCCTGCTCACTGTTTTCTTCCCAGGGTCTGGGGCAGGGGGATGGGGAGGCCCACACCCCTCTTTCATGGGTGTTTTGTTTTTTTGCTGTTTGGGGGATTTTTAAACCTGTTCCCTCCCCTTTCTCTCGGTATAGGACAGGCCTGGTCAAGGGAGGCCTAGGGGGGTCACTGCTGTGTCCCCTGAGCCAACCCATGCAGGGTGGTGAGGGTGAGGTGGGAGGGGGTCTCCTCTCTGCTTTCTTCTTTTTGTTTTTAGCCGAAAAAATAAACAAAAGCCATCACCGTGAACCAAACCAAGGCGAGAGAGTGAACAAGCCTAGCTGGCAGGGAGAGCAGGGAGGGCAAGGTGGGTCCCTCCCCCATCCCTGCAGGCCCCGCCCCTCCCAATGCTCACCCCGTGGTGGTTTTTGCAGGTGTGTGGGTCTTCCTGATCTTGCAATCACACTCTCTCTCCCTCTCTCTCCCTCTCTCTCCCCCTCTCTCTGTCTCCCTCTCTCTCTCTCCCTCTCTCTCTGCTGCCCGGGGAGGGAGGGCGGTGAATGCTCAGGCTTTGTGCTGCTTGCTGGTCTTGAAGGACACCTGCAGCACGCGCTCACCCAGGCGATAGCCATTCAGGCTGGCAATGGCCATGGCTGCCTCATCGTAGTTGGTCATGGTGACGAAGCCGAAGCCCTTGCACTTGTTGGTGGTGAAATCTCGGATGACCTTGACATTGGTGACTGCCCCAAAGGGTCCGAAAAGCTGCCACAGCACGCTCTCATCTGCTTCCGGGGACAGGTTGTACACGAAGATGCACCAGCCAGCGCCTGCAGCGCCTCCGGACAAGCCCACACCTGCCAGGCCACTCATGCCATCGATGGCGATTGGGGAAAACCTGGCGATGAGTGACAGGGGACTACTTTGGGGGTCACGCGGGCTCTGCCCTGATCCCCAGCATGCCTCCGACTCCGCCACTGGGAGAACCCTATCCTGTGTGCTATATGTAAGACCTTTGTAGGGTCCTGACCTAGCTATGACCCGGTTACCTATCTCTGACCTCACTGAGACACCAGCCCCTGACCAGGAAACTTTCTTCACCTCCAAAGCTCTCCAAATATCACCTATGATCCTGTCCCAAAGTGCCATCTTTATCCTGATCTCATGACCTTTGACCCTACCTGGTCCTGAGTCCTGTTGACCTTCACCCTTCTGCAGGGACCTTTCTCACTCAACTTCTTTTCTTGTGGCCCAGTTGGCTTTGAACTCACTGTGTAGCCAAGGGCAGGTTCTTGCTTTTGTTTTTCTTCCTTTTTGCCTTTGGATCTTGAACTTCTGCCTCCCGAATGCTGGTGTTGCACACCTGGCTTACGCAGGCTGGGATGGGACCCAGGACTTTGTGCGTGCTAGGCAAGCATGCATGTGTGTGCTCCAGCGTGTGTATGAATGCATGTGTGAGAGTGTGTGTGAGCATGAGAAAGAGGACAGAGAAGGAGACAGCCAGACAGAGACAGAGAAGACAGACTGACTCTGCCCTTCCATGCTGACCCTGAACGGAACTGCAGCTCCTCCCTCTAGTTCTTTTTAAGTCCAAGTCTGACCCCATCCTGGTACTAACCTGCCCTGACACCTCTGACTCCATTTTGACTCACTCTGTGAGGATGGAAACTAGCCCTACAAGAGCAGAGAGCAAGGCAGGGTGTCCTACGAGAACAGTGGTCCAGCACTCTCCTCTGACACTAAAAGTGGCCTCACCTGTCTTATCCAAATCACAAACAGCACCTTGCTGACTCAAAGGTTTTCTTTCTCTGGTTTCAATGACCTGTAATTGCCTTTGGTCTGAATATATTAAATGGAAATTTCCATAAATAGACAATTCACAGATTTTTTTTTTTTGCTTGTTTTGACTTTTAAAAAATACTCTTTAGATTTATTTGTTTGTGTATTTTTGTTTTTTGAGGCAGGGCTTCTCTATGTAGCTCTGGCTGTCCTGGAACTCACTATGTAGACCAGGCTCGATTTCATTTTTATGTGTGCTTGCCTGCATTGTATGTATGTGAAACACACACATCTGTGGCCTACAGAAGCCAGTGGGGGGCATCAGAAGTCTTGGAACTGGAGTTACAGATGGCTGTGAGCCACAATGTGGGTGCTAAAACTGACCCTGGGTCCTCTGCAACAAGTGCTCTTAACCACTGGGCCATCACTCCAGTCCAAGTTTAGGCTTTTTGAGACTGGGTCTCACCACATAGCCCAGCCCCTAACTTGTGATCTTCCTGAATCTGCCTTCAGAGTTATGAAGATCAGGAAGTAGACAACGCTGAAGAATTTTTAATGTTTTATTGAATTGTTATTCTGTGTCTGTATAGTAGGAAGGGAGGTGCACATGCCATGACATGTGGATGTCAGAGGACAAGTCTACAGAGTTGGTTCATTTCCTCTCACTTTTATGTGGGTTTTGGAGATCAAACTCAGGTGGTCAGGCAAGCCCCTCTACCCTCTGGGCCATCTTGCTGGTCCACAGTCATAGTTTTAAGTTGCACACTGAATATGGAGAGGTGGCTTAGGACTCTAACCTAGCTCTTACAAGGCTGAGGTCACATAGCAAAAACCTATCTCAAAACAAACAGTTTAACTCTTGGATCTGTCCCAGCTTTAGCACTCTTCCAGTCTCAAGACTGCCTCTCTTGTTAAATCAATCTATGTCTCTGTCTTTCCCTGTGTCCCCACCCCCTGGACCCTCCTGTCTCTGCCCCCATCTGCAGGGCTACAGATGTGCACTACCACTCCCGGGTTGTACATGAATGCTGGAGATCTGAAGTTAGGTCCGCACATGTCCCATTGAGCCATCTCCCCAGCCCCTAACTGCCCTTGGCCCTGCCCCTACTTCACAGGAAGGTAAGCATGGTGGACAGATTATGCATGCCATTCTAGCACTAGGACAGTGGAAACAGGAGGATGAGGAGTTCAATATCATCGTCATCTATACCTCGTTTGAAGTCAGCCTGGGGTACATGAGACACCATCTTAAAATAAAACCCCAAACCAAACAAAAAAGAAGCAAAACCCCTTATGTGGTAGTGCATGCCTTTAATCCAGCACTGGAGGCAGAGATGGGGAGATTTCTGCGAATTCAAGACCAGCCAGCTACATAGTAAGACCCTATCTAGAAGAAGAAAAGGGGAGGGGGGGAAGGGGAGGAGGTGGAAGAAATAAGAAAAGGAAAAATAAGGAGAACAAAAGGAAAGGCTGTACACTGTTTTGAGTAGCATGATGAAATGCCACATTGTTTGGCAAGTGTATCCATGCAGTATGTGCTACCCTCCCATTATCTATTTAGCTGTGTTATTATCAGATTGACTGTCTAAAATCATAGTTTCTGTGTTAAGCAACCTTATTGTAATTGGTTAATGGTTAATGCTGGTGATTTAGAGATGCCTAAGAGAAACTTGTAAAAAGTTTCTCTTAGGGGAAAAGGTGAAAGTTCTTCACAAGTGGAAGAGGGGATCATATGCTGAGGTCACTAGTAAAGCCACTAATATCTACGGAAAGGACAAATCTATCTGTGAAATTATGACGAAGAAGCCAGCTTGGTGGTGCCACCTTGCCATCCTAGGATGCTTAGGCAAGACAATCACAAGCTCAAAACAAAAAGTAAGAAAATACCCTGAACATACCTACAACCCCGTGTTTAGGGGGAGAGAGGCAAAAGGAACAGGAGTCAAGGACCTGCTCAGCTCAGAGTTGCTGATCCGCCTGCACTACATGTCAAGAAACATAAGGAAGGCTGGGCGTGTAACTCAGTGGGACAGTGCTCGTTCAGAAGGCCGTGAGCTTCCTCTCCAGTACAAAATAATTAATAATAATAATAATAACAATAAACCAGGGCCAGTGGCACACACCTTTAATCCCAGCACTCAGGAGGCAGAGGCAAGTGGATCCCCTTGGAGTTTGAGGCCAGCCTGGTCTACAGAGAGAGCTCCAGGACACCAGGCTACACAGAGAAACCCTGCCTCATAAACAAACAAACAATCAGATAAATAAGTAGAAATTAAATAAATAAGTAAATAAGATATAAAGAGGTTTCCATGCCAATCTCTGTTGTCAGGCATCCATAAGAAGTCTTGGGATGTATCCCTGATGGGACAACCATGTTTCATGTTACCATCATGTTTCTGACGACATTCTCTGGGATACCTCACCTCTCAGGTAACACTTAGTAGGTTGTTTGTTGACTAAATTAATTCAAGGATAGAAAGCCACATTCCCACTGCCTCCCTCACCCTCAGGCAAAGACTCTGAAAGTCTGAACCCCTTAACCTTGATGTTGTGGGACTCAGCTCCCTCCCTCCTCCAAACCTGTGCACCCGCTATCTCTGCTGCCAAATTCCCTCTAGGCCTCTTCTGGTCGCCATCGTGGGACCCTTATACTGCCCCTGCACTGCCCTGACATGAACATCAGTGACAGTATTCATATGTGGACACCTTTTACTATGTACCAAGCACTGTGTTCCGTCTCCAATTCATGTCCAAGGGAGAGCAAAGTCTGCCCGGGCCATGCTTGGCTTCAAGCCCAGCTTTTGATATTCCACATGTTCCCAACAGCTTGTGACACAATAAACATGAAGACTTTCACAAAAGCAGGGGTGTGAATGAAGCTAGGACAATTTCAATGTTTATAGCAACAGTGGTGGCCGATGTATGGGGCTCAGGAATGGCTTGGCTATAGAGCCTTGAATCCCCCAGTGAGGGTCTGGGGGCATGGCTCAGTGCAAGCCTAGCATGCAGAAGTCCCAGGATCCCATTCCTAGCACACAAAATAATAGTTGTTGTTAGTGACTCTCAGGGTTAATGTGGGGGGCACAACTGCACCCTACTTTTGTTGAGATGACATAAAGAAATGTCTGAAAGCCACAGACAGCTCCACCTTCTGCAGCCACTCTCTAGACATCTGCTCTGCTCTTAGTCTCGAGGTTGTTATCTCCTAGACACACCAGGAGATGGTTACCCAATGGTCCCAGGGACATGGAACATGCAGGGGTTAAAGGAGGCCATCAAGGTAAGGGGGCTGTGGAGAAGGGACAGTGGGGTAGGAGCACTGTTACCTTTTGACTCCATAGGCCATGTTGAGCAGATTGTCCAGCCTGTGGAGGCAGAAGCAGCTGTCAGAGCGGCCTGTGACCCCCCGCTGTGATATGCCAGCCAGTCCTCCCCACCCCCACAGCCGCCCGCTCCCAGCCCGGCTGGACACTGCCTGGCACGGAACCTTGCTCATTCCAGCCTGAGCGCTCTCGTCCTGTTCTCCCAATGCCTCTGTGGGCCCTGCCAGGACCCAGAGGACACAGGGGCTGAGATCTCTGGCTTAAGGAGGGTTTATTTCCTGAGCCCACAGGAGGATAGGCAGCTCACACAGCTGCCCCCAGAGCTACCAGGAGCTCTCATTGACCTCCCACTTGGGATCTGCCAGGATCCTTCTTATGGGTTTGTTCACTCTCTGTCTCAGGTGAAGAAATCTCAGTAAAGGGCACAGTACAAGCTCTGTTCTACCCAGTTACCGTGCAGGGAATATGATCATGGCCAGCACACAATAAATGAGAAGAAATGTTTGGTTGTGGTAATATCCACAAGGAAACAGAGGCACAGCTGGACTCGTGTGTGTGTGTGCTGGAGGGGGGACAGAGATACACAGAGAAAAGAGAGAAAGACAGAAAAAGAGAGACAAGAAGATAAAGACAGAAACACACAGTTGCAGAAAGAGATACAGAGATATGGAGATAAAGAGACACAGACCAAAAGACTAGAAGAGAACATAAGGAGAGACTGACAGAAAGATAAGGGAGAAAAGATAAGACAGACATACAGAGAGAAATAGGGTCCGTAGTGTTCAGGGTGTTTTCTCATTTCAGGGTGGGGGTAGGATTTTTCGTTTTTTGTCAATTTGACACAACTAGGGTGATCTAGGAAGAGGAACTTCAATTGTGAAAATACTCCCACCACAATGGCAAGGGCAGGGGTCATTTTCTTGACTGGTGTGGGAGGGTCCAGAACACTGTGGGCAGTGCCCCCTCTTTGGAGGTGGGCCTGGACCGTGTAAGAAAGCAGACTGAGCAAGGTATGGATAGCGAGCCAGTAAGCAGGGTTCCTCCATGGCCTCTGGTTCAGTTCCTGCCTCCAAGTTCCTGCCCCAACTTCCCCTCAATGTGGACTGTTTGCTATAAGTTAAAATAAACCCCTTTCTCCTCACATTGTTTTTGGTCATGGTGCTTTATCCCAGCAAAAGACATCATGACCAAGCACAAGGAGAGAGACAGAGAGACATACACAGAGAGACATACACAGACAGACACAGACACAGAGAGACATAAAGACCCACAGTTGGGCTTCATTTCGATGTTAACAGTGGCCAACATACGATGACCTCCTGCTCTGTGTACTGGGCACATGCCCTTTCATATTCCTACTGGTGAGGTATCCCTGGATCCCCTCCCTGAAGAAAACAGGCTCAGGGAGAGCAGCTTCGGGCTTGGGTCATGTGACCTGGGGGGGGGGTCTGGGGACTCTGGCTCACCGGAAGCGCTGTGTCTGATGATGCAGGGGACCCGCGTAGCGCCGGGCAGAGGACTGGTACAGGTGGGTGAGCAGGGCCTGTCCTGTCTTCTGACTTGGGTTGTTTGCGAATTTGACCGTGATTGGCTCTGCTGCACCCAGTGGTTTCTGTCCATTCAGTCCCTTGATGGCCTCCTCTGCCTCGATCCTCTTGTCAAAGCGGATGAATCCCACACCCCGAGAGACACCTGCCAGGAGTGTGAGGGCATTGGTCTCAGGTACTCTGTACCTTCTCCTGTGACCTTCCCTGTCCAGGGACATCCTGGCCCAGAGCACCCTCTCTTCCTGGCATTCTGACCTGTGGCCTGATCCAGCAGGATCCTGGAAGTAATGATGCGTCCGTACTGGGAGAAGAGCTGTTCCATCTCCTTCTGGCTCATGGTCTTGGGGAGGCCGCTGACGTACAGGTTAGCATCCCGAATAGAGGCAGAACTGGGGCGTGCATAGGACACCTGGGCGGGGATCAGAGGACAGTGAGGGCACCTGGGAACTGACAAGGCTCAGAAATGCCCCCCACACCCTACTAGTTCACTTAACAAGCTGCCCAAGGCCAGGACTGGGTTCAGCAGGTGGAGTGCTTGTCTAACAGGCAAGAAACTCGAGTTCCATCCTCAGCACCACATGGACACTGTCATCCCAGGACCTGGCAGATGCAGGTGGGGAGGAGCAGAAGTTAAATCATCCTTTACTATATAGTAAGTTCAGGTCTGGCCTGGGACAACGTTACCCTGTCTCAAAGAACAAAGCAGAGGTTAGGGAGATGGCTCCATTGGTAAAGGGCTTGCTGCACAAGACTGAGTATCTGAGTTAGATTCCCAGCACTCACATAAGAAAACAAAAACAACAGGCAGGCAATGGTGATGGCTCCACAGCTAAAGTGCCTGCTGTGAAAATATGGCAGCCTGAGTTTGCCAAGGGTAGAAGCAGAAAATGGCTCCCAAAGCACCCTTCGACCTCCACACCCACCAAAGCATCCTTTGACCTGCTCCCAAAGCACCCTTCGACCTCCACATCCACCAAAGCATCCTTTGACCTCCACACCCACGTAGTGGCACGTATGTACCCGCCCCACATGTGCACACAATAATTAATAATGCTTTTTATCTAAAAATAAGCTCAATGTTCTGTTGCACTCTTGTCACCCCAGCTAGGAGAGGGGCTCCAGGGCAATCCCTGGGGCACCGGTAGCCCAGTCTGAGTTTATGGGCCATGCTCAGTCCTGGGTCTCAAGAAAAGAAGATGTTTGGTAGAGAGAGCCAGGAGTGAAGCAGAGGCAGGTGAACCTCTGTGAGTTCCAGGCCGGCCTTGTCTACAGAATAAATTCCAGGACAGCCAGGACTGTGTAGTTGATACCTTGTCTCAGACCAAATGAAACATATAAACCAAAACAAACCAATAAAGAAGGGGTCAGCCCTGGTTGGGCTGGAAAATGTCCTTCCTGCATAGACCCCGAGCCATATCCCCAGACGCACGTACAGAATGAGAGCTGAGCCCACAAAGTTATAAACACAAGGTTATGCCTGTAGGGGAGGTGAGGTGGTCAGGAACTGTCACCCCTGAAAACCATAGCAGGCTTATTTATAATCTTTGCAAACTGAAACTAAAAGAATCCAAATTGCACGAATGTATTGCATGAAAGTTTTACAACTCTACATTTGTATTAAAAATAGCTATATGGAGAGATACCTTGCTCAGCTTAGACACAGAAGTGTGTGGGGTGGAGAGGAGCCTTGGTCCTGCCTTAATGAGACGATGGGTCAGACTTAATAGACTTTCTAGAGGAGGCTTTACACTCTCCATGGAGCAGATAGGGGTGTGGTGAGGTGGGGGAAGTGGGGGGAGCTGGAGGAGAGGAGGGAGGAGGAACTGAGATTGGAATGTAAAAAAAAAGTGAATTTTAAAAAGCAAAAAATAAAAATAATAAAATAAAAACACAGGGCCTATGGGAGGGCTCAGCAGGCAAAAGTGCTTTGCCGCCAAATCGGTCCACTTAAGTTCAGTCCTCGGGTTTTACATGCTCGCAGGAGAGGGCCAACCCCTGCAAGTTATCCTCTGACTTCCACACCCTCACGTCCAACAGCTCACTCTCTGACCTGTGTGTCTCACATACATAAGCATATAAAATAATGTTAAAATGGAGCTCTGTGTGTCATATACCCATACGCATGTAAAATAAAATTTAAAATATAATTAAAACTAAAGAAGAGGGCTACAAAGATAGCTCAGAGGTTAAGAGCACTGATGACTACTCGAGTTCAATTCCCAGCAATCACATGGTGGCTCACAACCATCTATGATGAGATCTGTTGCCCTCTTCTGGCATGCAGGAGTACATGCAGGCAGAACATTGTATACATAATAAATAAATAAAATATTTAAAACAAAAACTAAAGAAGGGATGGTGATGATCTCTGACTTCTGACTTCAACTCTACACTCCTTCCTGCTCTGAGGACTGCTGCTACTGACCACCATGGCTTCCGAATCCAAACCCCATTCTATGAAGCAGCCAAAGAAATTGGACACCAAAGCCAATTTCTTCCCCCACAGAGATCTCTGTGGCTTCTTCCTTTCTTCCTCTGCCTTAAAGCTAAATTCCTTTTAAGAAAAAAATAAAAAAGGTCACCAAATATGGTAGCCCAGGTCTCAGTCCCAGCACTTGAGAAGCAGGTATGTCTCTTGTGAGTTTAAGGCCAGGACAGCCAGGGCTACATAGAGACCCTGTGCAAACTTTTTAACACTGCTTTTTTTAGAGGCAGGGTCTCACTACGTAGCCATGGCTGTCCTGGAACTCACTTTGTAGACCAGGTTGACCTCAATCAAACTCAGAGATTTGCTAGCCTCTGCTTCCGAATACTGGAATTAAAGGTATGCACCACCACAGCCAGCTTAAAAATTTTAACTTTTATAAAAAGGTTTGTCTTGCATTATTATCATTGGTTTTTATTATGTTCTTATTGGTTTTTCAAGACAGGATTTCTCTATGCATCTCTGGCTGTCCTGGAACTAGCTCTACAGACCAAGTTGCCCTGGAACTCACAGAGATGCACCTGCTTTGCCTCCTCAGTGCTGGGATTAAAGGTGTGCGCCACCACTGCCTGGTGCTGAAATAGTTTCACCTGCAGGTACAGCTTTGCACTGTGTACATGCAGTACCCACAGTGGCCAGAAGAGAGCACTGGCTTCCCTGGAACTAGAGTTACAGACAGTTGTGATGGGCTCTGTGCATGCTGGGAATTGAACCTTGGTTTCCCGGCAGATCAACCAATGCTCTTAACTGCTGAGCCATCTTTTGAGTCTGGAAAAAATGAAAACATCTCTAAATTACATTTGAGTGTGCACATGTGTACAGGGATCAGAGACCTACCTGCTTAGGAAGATGGTTGGTTCTCTGCACTCCCCCACTCCCCCACCCTCTCCACCCCCGGTGAGCCATCTACCCAGCTCAAGTGTGTGTGTGTGTGTGTGTGTGTGTGTGTGTGTGTGTGTGTGTGACAGGGCATCTGGTGTATGTCACTTCTATCCTTGTACCATGTTGATCTCAGTGATCAAACTCAAGTAATCAGGTTTGGAAGCAAGCTCCTCTCACTGGCCCTGCCATCACCCTATCTCAAGGTGCTTTTCTCTGGCTTGTGAGCTGCATACACTTTGGTAAGGTCATTCTATTTGTGTCATAAGGACTCATGTCATCAACGCTGCAGCTGCTGACAGGTCTGGGACTCAGACATTCACAGCACAGACACTGAGGAGTATTGTGAAGGGGGGGGCAGCTCATTGTGTCTTTATCAATGTCCTGGAGACTCAGCTCAGAGGCCCCGCCCACACGTGTCAATGGAGTGACCAGTCTCTGTGGTGGGAGGGTGGTGAGCACCCCTCCCCCTCCCTTTTGCTGAGGTCGGTTTTTGGTTGCTTCTATTCAAACCTCTAAATCTGGGGTAGATAGGGACCATTGTTTCAGGTCTGGCATTTGTTTGGGGAGATGCACTGTGGAGCTGTAGTACTTCATTATGGATAATTAATTAGGGGCTGTTGAGATGGGTCACAGGGTAAAGGTGCTTGCCACCAAATCTGATGACCTGAATTAGATCTCTCAAATTCACAGGGTAGAAAGAGAGAACTGATTCTCAAAGTCGTCCTCTGGCTTACACAAACATGAGTAAATGTAATGAAGTTTTTAAAAAGAAGTAATTAATTAGGACTGGGGCTTCACTCCGGGGCAAGCAGGAAACCACCTCTGTCTTTTCTCCATCTAACCCTGGTGTGGTGGTGCATCCTCTGTCATCCAGCACTGTGGGGGTGGAAGCAGGTATGGCTTCTTGTGAGTTCCAGATCTGTTTGGTCTCCAGGCCACTTGGAGCTATGTAGTGAGAGCCTGTCTGAAAAAACATTCTACACACACACACACACACACACACACACACACACACACAATAAAAATTGCAGCCAAGTGCTGAGGTTTCTTAACTCCACCATGGGACTGTGAGGGTTTTGACTGTTTGTTGTTGCTGTTATTGTTTATGGGACAAGGGTCTCACTATACAGCCTCAGGGGGTCTGGAGCGCTCAGGGTACCCAGGCTGGTCTACTGCTCACAGAGATCCAGAGTTCGGGGATGTGCTCCAGGTTCCCAGCTTTGTGAGCTGTCACTCATGCTGGGGTGGGCCTTGGTGATGCAGCCATCTTTTCATGTACCCCACACCCGGATGGGACCTGGGGCATTCAAGTAGTTGAAACCATTTTTGCCCAAATATGCCAGGGCAACATTCAGGCCTGAACAACATAGTCACAGGACAAAAGTAGCTAGAGGGTGTCTTGCAAAGTCACTGCTGTTCTCATACTATTGGGTCCTCCAGAACTACAGTAAGAAAACCATCACTTGCTGATCATGCACCAACCCCAGAACACAGCCCACAAACACATACACACTAACCACTCTAAGTCACAAATACCTTGTTGCACCAGACACGTTCCCTAGTATACCCTGGAAGCCACACAGGAATTGTGGTGACACAAAGCACATGTCACATTAACACCAGGTTCTACATACTCATGGTCATTTTGTCTGTTGTTGCTGCTGCTTGTGCTGTGAAACCAGTGATGATCTTGAGTTTCTAATCTTTTTGCTGCCACGTCTAGAATGCTGGGATCACAGGCTTGTGCCGCCAGGCCCAGTGTTTGTGGTGCTGGAGAGCCATCCCAGGCCGTGCATGCTGGGTAAATGCTCCTTTCAGAAACTGAACCCTAGTCCTCAAATCTTGTGTATGAGTATGTGTGCCCATGTAGGCCGGGGTCAACCTTAAGAGTCATTAGGAGCTGTCTGCTTTTGAGATAGGGTACCTGACTCACCTTTCAGCACTGGGGTTACAGGCAAAAGTCACCAAATGTGCCTTCCTTCTTCTTCTTCTTTTTTTTTTTTTTTTTTTTTTTTTTTTTTTTTTTGGACAGGGTCCCAATATATATAGCTCTGGTTGACCTGTAACTTGCTACATAGATCAGGCTTGTCCCAACTCACAAAGATCTACCTGCTTCTACTTCCTGAGTCCTGGAATTAAAGTTATGTGCCACTATGCCTGGCTTTATATGCTTGGCTTGTTTGTTAGAGTTCTGAGAATCAAATTTAGGTATCCAAAGCAATACAAACAACTGAGCTGTCTCTCCAGGCTCTGTCCCTCAAGTCATTCATGTGTTCATATCTGTGCTGTAGATGGAACTCTGGTTTGGTAAGCACTCTACCATTGAGCCACACTCTCAGCCCTACACCTCAAACCTTAATTACCCAGACCCATCTCACAAGAGTCACCTGCACAGACACTGTGTCCTACAGCCAGAGTCATGACCCACTGCCTTGCACACACCTGCAGACTCACTTAGTCGCTGGATGGGGTCTACTCTCATGACCCTGGGCTTCTGTATCAAGCTGACCACAGACACAGACTCATCCAGTGGTACCATTTTCCTCCTTCCCCCACACTGGGGAGAGGAAAAGATTCCTATACTTCTGTTCCCATGATAAACTGGGGGCCAGATGGGCACCCTCAGCCTGGCCTCCCCAGGGGTCCTGGAGCAGATTTGAAGGGAGGAGCCCAAACACCCCCAGGCCAACTCAGAGAGGGGGTTTCCATGGTGATTCTTCCCAAGGGAACTTGGGCTCACATGGTCCCAGCTGCAGCTGCTGAGAAGGGAGGCCATGGGGGAGGGGTAATGCACAAATGTGGGGGAGGGGCTGCCTCATCTCTCCCCCCTCCCCAGCCCCTAATTAGATTCCAGATGGCAGATGGGCTCCACTCCCTTTTCCAGGACAAAGGCAGGGAGGGGGTCTGCCCATGGGGTCCTGGTCACTCCGTCCTACCTCCTGGGCCTGGCAGATTCCCTAAGTCTTCCAAAGAACATTGGGACTTACGGTGGGTAGTATGTCTCCAGTCATGGGGAATAGCTCAGCTGTCAGAGACAGTTGGAGCTAAGGCTGACTAACACGTGAAAGGAGAAAACCAATTCTCACACGTTTGCTGTAGTTTCCACACATGTAGCAACACACGTGTTGCTATACAGAGTAGTAAAATAAAAACACAGTAATGTCTCATACTAATGGATGAATGGGTCAGAGAAATAAAACCAGGTGACCAGTAAGGAAGAAGGAATGATGGCAGTGAGGGGCAGGTGTCACTCAGGTGGGGCACTCACCTTGATGGTCTTTGTCTGCAATTTGAGGCCATTGAGGGTGTTGATGGCTTTGTCTGCATCGTTGGGGTCAGAATAGTTCACAAACCCATAGCCCAGGCTCTGCCCTGTGGGAGGACCATAAGAGTGACTTCCCTAGTCTGTACAGTGTCCCCAACACACCTTGCCATACTCCAGCTTCCCACTCTGATTTATCCTTCCCATGATAATGCGTTCCCCAGAGAGCCACTTGGCTGCATCCATCCTGAGGTACCCTGCCCAGGTCACACTTGTTTTTCCAAGGCTACTTCCTCCCTGCTTGCCACCCAAGGCCACACATAGAAAGAACCACACCTGTGATCTTATCCCGAACCAACTTGCAGGATTCGATGTCTCCAATGCTGCCGAAGAGACTCTTGAACTCATCCTGTGTCATGTTCTGGGGTAGGTAGTTGACGATGAGGTTGGTTTTGCTGTCATCAGTGGCTCCATTTGTCCCAAGGAGTGGCCCGTTGGGCAGGGCCGGGCCGGCCGGCCCCCCCCCAACCTGAGACTCCATGGCCCCCAGTATCTGCTGGAAAAAACAGGTCGTACCCGCTCACCGCCCAGTTCCCTTCACTGGAAAGAGGGCTTTGGGGAATGAATTAGTCACATCTAATATGATACGGACTTAGTTTTCGTTGGGGTTTGCATGTTGGTCTTTTCTTTTTCTTTCTTTTTTTTTCCCCCCTGAGACAGGGTCATTCTATGTAGCCCTGCTATCCTGTCCTGAATTTGCTCTGTGGGCCAGGTTAGCCCAGAACTCACAGAGATTCCCCCTGCTTCTGCCTCCTGAGTGCTGGGATTAGCTATTTGTTGGTCTCTTTGATCTGGAGATGTCTGGCTATATAACTAGGCTGACCTTGAACTCACTATGCAGCCCAGCCTGAGTATACACCCTTTCTTTGTTGAGATAGTGCTTACTATGTAGACCGTGCTGGCCTTGACCTCAGAGATCCACCAGTGTCTGCTAGGATGACAGCTGTGCGCGGCTGATTCTTCCTCTTTGGTTGTTTTTCGAGACAGGGTTTCTCTGTGGCTTAGGAGCCTGTCCTGGAACTCGCTGTAGACCAGGCCTGCCTCTGCCTCCCGAGTGCCACCAATGCCCGGCTATCTTCTTTTATTTTAATTATTTATGGGGCTCAGCAGACAGCACAGCAGGTAAAGGTGTCACAGAAGCCTAAAGACCAGAGACTCTGTCTCCAGAACCCAGTAAAGGTGGAAGGACAAAACTGATTACAGAAAGCTGTCTTATCACCTCCACAAGTGAACCACGACATGCATTCACACAAAACAAATTTTTAAAATGTAATTAAAAACAACAAACTGGGTGGTGGTGACACATGCCTTTAATTCCAGCACTTGGGAGACAGAGGCAGGCAGATCTCTGAGTTCCAGGCTATTCTGGTCTGCAGAGCAAAGTCTAGGACAGCCATGGCTACACAGAAACCCTGTCTTGGAAAAGTGAAATAAATAAAATAAAATAGATGCTTTCTGTGGCTAAGTATTTTACCTGTGTATAATACCAGTCCTTAAGAGGCCTTGACTAAACAGTGAGACCTTGCCCCCCACCCCTTTTTGACAGAGTTTCATGTAACCCAGATTGGTCTGGTCAAAACTTGCTATGCAGCCAAGGTCAGCTTTGAACTCCTAATTTTCCTGCCTCTACTGTACCTTCTAGGTGCTGGGATTATAGGGATATGCCACTACACCCCGGACTCTGTCTTAAAACCAAGTCAAAATACTGTATAAGGGCAGGGGGCATGACCCTAGTCCCCTAAACAAGCATGGTAGGCTGGAGTGTCCACAGAGGTGTGTACTCAGGCCTAGGGTCTGGTGTGGTGGGGGTGGAGGAGTGGTAGAACTTGCAAGAAGTTTGGCCTAGTGGGAAGAAATTAGGTCATTGTGAGGAGCATTTCCCTTGGAAGGGATTGATATTCTCCAGGGACCCTGGCTGCTTTTCTCCAGAGTGGGTTGTTTGGGAGTGGATGATGCTCAGCAGTTAAGAGTCTGATTTCTTGCAGAGGACCAGTCTGCCAGGTGCCTCACAACCACCTGTAACTCCAGCTTCAGGGGACCTGAAGCCCTCTTCTGGCTTCCAGAGGCACTGGAACTCACATATTCACACACATAGACATAAATAAAGTAGCATCTTCAATAAATAGAGACACAGAGACTAGATTGTTTTAGGGAAGAGTGCTAAGTGAACGCAGGCCTGGGGGCGGAGAGTGTCTTACTGAGCCACCCCAACCCCTTTGTGCAGAGAGAGATACCATCCATGTTTCCCCACCTCTTTGAAGGCAACAGTTACTTCTTTCTTTACATTCCTACCCTTCAGAATAGGGAGGGAGCCAGCACATGCCACCAAGGATGGCATGGTGGTATCCTCTGTTTCCACTTCTCTGACACAGCGTGGCCCAACCAAAGGTCCTCCCAGAGGAGGACCAGATGGGGCCACCTGCTTTGGGACTTCTAACCCCAAAGCAAAGCTAAGGACATCTCTTCTGTAGCCTGACATGGTAACACATTCTCGTAATCCTGGCACCAGGGAGGTTGAGGCAGGAGGATTATGTCAGCTTAGCGGTCAGCCTGGCTGCACAGTGAGGCCCCAACAAAAGCAAAACACCCTCAGACCACTTTCTAAAGTTCAAGTTTTGACATTCTATTTTTTTAGTGTGTATGTGTATGCATGCAAAGTGCATGAGTGCCACGGCACACACCTAGAGGTCAGAAGACAACTTGGGAGAGTCTGTTCTCTCCTTCAACACATGGGAGCCAGGGGTCAAGCTCAGGTGGGTCAGGCTTGGCAGCAAGCTCCTTTACCTACAGAACCAGTTCACAGCCTGGTCTCTCTTTTTTCTTTTCTTTTCTCTCCTCTTCTCTTTTCTCTCTTTCTTTCTCTCCTTTTCTTTTCTGAAACAGGGTTTCTCTGTAGCTTTGGAGCCTGTCCTGGAGCTCGCTCTGTAGACCAGACTGGCCTTGAACTCAGAGAGATCCTCCTGCCTCTACCTCCCAAGTGCTGGAATTAAAAGTATGTACCACTACTACCACCACCTGGCCCTCTTTTTTTTTTTTTTTTTTTTTTTTTTTTTAATTCTTTGTTTTTATTTTATGTGCCTTGGAGTTTACCTGCATGTTCATCTGTATGAGGGTGTCTGAAACTGGAGTTAAAGACAGCAGTGAGCTGCCATGTGAACCCAGGTCCTCTGGAAGAGCATTCGGTGCTCTTAACCACTGAGTCATCTCTCTAGTCCCACTTTTTCTTTATAAACATTCAGTGTTGAGTATTTTGTCACAGCAAGAGAAAGCAGGCAGTTACTAAAATCAATCTGGGAATTTTCAGAATAATAAAGGAACACTTGTCTTCACAAAAAGAAAAGTAACCGTTATCCTCGTAGTGGCCAATGGTACACACTTCTAAGCCCAGACCTTGAGAGACTAGCCTGGTCTACATTTAACTTCTAGGTTAGGCAGAGCTAGACAGTGAGACCCTATTTCAAAGATAGAGAGAAGAAAAAGAAACCAAAATCAAACAAAAACAAAGACTGGAAATATAACAATTTCAGTAGCTTTAAATCCACAATCAAGCCCTTCCCCAATGTGATTTATTTTTTTTCCCTACAGAAGTAACCCCCATCTCAAGTGTGTTAATATTTTTTTCTTCCTAAATATTTTCCCTACTATTTACTCCCATAATTTCTGTGTGAGTTATTTTGGTTTGAATTTCTTTTCTTCTTTTTTAAACATAAAACATCACCAAAGAATGACATTTTTATTTCTTTTTTTAAAAACTAATTTATTTTTTATTCTATTTGCATTGGTGTTTTGCCTGTGTGTATGTCTATGTGAGAATATTGGATCCTGGAGTTACAGACAGTTGTGAGCTGCCATATGGTACTGGGAATTGAACTCAGGTCCTCTGGAAGACAAGCCAGTGCTCTTTAACTACTGAGCTATCTCTCCAGACCCATTTTTATTTCTTAATTTCTAGACTGTATCTGTCACTTTTTTGTGGAGGCTGGGAGATCATTGTGAGGGTTCTTATTCTTGGTAATAAAGAAATGCTTAAAACCAAAAAAGCTATGCAGGATGGGAAGGCAGAGGCAGGTGGATCTCTGTAAGTTCAGTGTCATTCTGAATGCCAGGGCTACATATTTAGACTCTGGCTCCCAAAGTAAAACAGGAGAAAGCTGGGCAGGATAGCACATATATACATGTAATTCCAACACCTAGGAGACTGAGGCAGGAGGACCCATGAATTCAAGATCAATTTGAGCTACACAGACCTCATATCAAAAAGCCAAAACCAGGGAGCTGGAGAGGCAGCTCAGTGGCTAGGGCAGTGGCCGCTCTATTAAAACCCAGATTAAAATCCCAGCACCCAGAAGGCACCTCACAGCCTTTTGAAACTCCAGTTGCAAGAAATTGGCACTGTCTTTCGGTGTCTATGGCTCCTGCACATTTGAGTGCCCTAAACTCACACAGGCACATACACACACACACACACACACACACACACACACACACACACACAGCACACAGCACACAGCACACACAGGTTTTTGGTTTTTTTTCTTTTTTTTTTTTTTCTTTTTTTTTGGTTTTTGGTTTTTTGAGAAAGGGTTTCTCTGTGTAACAGCCCTAGCTGTCCTGGAACTAGCTCTGCAGACCAGGCTGGCTTCCGACTCACAGAGATCTGCCTGATGGGATTAAAGGTGTGAGCCACCACCGGCCAGCTACATACATGTTCTTAAAAGCCCCAAATAATTAATGCTTCAAACATTTCACAGTTCCATAACCATCTTAGCTACAGACACTATTCTCCTAGGGCTGACAAGATAGCTCAGCAGACAGGGGTACTCAGCACCAACCCTGACAGCCCAGCCTCAGTCCCCCAGGGCTCACATGGTAGAAAGAGAGAGCCCATTCCTGCAATTTGCCTTCTTACCGTCTCCACACTTGCAATGTGGTACACTCATGCTTGCACATACAATAAATAAATTCCAAACATGACTTTACCCAGTTAAGATTATTTTGTATGGGAGTTGGATGTGGGTGTGGTAGACACAATCCCAAAAGCTCATGAGAGGCAGAGGCTAAAGGTTCAGGATAACCCTTCCCTAAAAGAGAGTTCAAGGCCAAGCATGCGATCTCACCTTTTAAAAAAAAGGGAAAGAAAGACAAGGATAAAAAGAAAATGGGCCAGCAAGATGTCTCAGTGGGTAAGGGCATTTGTCTCAGGAACCTGACAGCCTGTGTTTGATCACCAGATCCCACATCGGAAGGAGGGAATCTAGTTCTAAAAGATGTCCTATGACCTCTCCTCACACACAGTAGTAAACATTAAACAAAGAAAGAAAAACCCAGAATATGTTCTTTGGAGCTGTAACTCAGGAGTAGAGTGCTTGTCTAATGTGAGCAAGGCTGTCAGTTTGATCTCCAACAGTTAAAAATTTAAAAAAAAAGAAAAGCAGATTTTGATTCAGATTTTAACCTTTCAAGCAGGGCTTGAACCCGAGTTCTCACACATGCCAG